CTGTTTGAATTTTCATCCTAGGAGTGTTTCTGGAAAGTATATAGTGCAGGAGGCAGGCAGCCAACTCTGGTGGATTAAGAATTATTTACACCAATTTATAGATAACAAAATGAAAATCAAGAAAGTAACCTTCTCAAGGTCACAGCGATTGGGAGAAGTGGAACTTACTTAGTCTAAGTCCAGACTCTTCACTACATCAGTTTTTAAAATGTGCTCTGCAAACCTCTGTGAATCTCAAAGACCCATGAGGGGGGACCCAGGAGTGAAAACTAATTTCATAAAACTAAAGGCATTATTTGCCTTTCACCATGTTAACATCTGCACTGATGGTGCAAAAGCAATGGAGGGTAAAGTTGTTGGGAGCTTAGTGTGAATCAAGGCAGTAACACCAAATTTCACTAACAGTCTTCATTGCTGGTCATGTGCAATAAAAATGAAAGGTTTTCTTAGGCCCCGCCGAGGAAGAAATGCCTATTAGCCACAAAGTTAGGCAGTATAGAGCTTTATTGGGGTTTGCACACCTGGGCAAGGTTCTCTGGTCCACAAAGTGGAGCCTAAGAAGTCACGCCCAAGCAGGGAATGTGGCGGGGTTTTATTTTGGTTGCTTCTCTTCGTGGGAGCTGGGGATTGGTCCCCTTTGAACAAAGCAGCAATATATCATTGGTGGTTCTCCTTGGGCTCAGGTTGCTATGCGGATATCCGTTTGGCAAAGCCCGCCGTTTCAGCTCCCTGGTTTGATGTCAGTTGTCTTTTCCAGGTTGTAGTTCAGCCGCCATTTTGTCCTACTCGCCCATCCTGACAATAAATACTACCAGTTTCATTTTGAAATGCCCTTGATGAAGCAGTAAAAATTAATAGTAATTTTATTAAATTTCAATCCTTTATTACACTTTTAAAAATATTTTGTGCCTGAGAAGTATGGCTAAAGTACCTCTGCCACATACCCAAGATGTGTCTAAAGGAAAAGTAATTGTACAATAGATTTGAGAGCTAAACCAGCCTTTTTTTCCCAAATGAAACTTTAAAGGATGACTGGTAAACAAAGGCTATTCAGGCTTAACTATATAGCAGATGTTTTCTCAAAAACAAAAAAAGTGAGTCTGTCAATTGAAGGAAAACAACTGTATTTGTTACCAATGACAAACTCTGAGCTTTCAAGAAAAACGTAGTTTTATAAGTTTGTTTCCGCCACAAGACTCAAGACTTTTCTGATAACCTATGTTGTTGGTATTAACAAATGTGATTTTTTGATATTATACAATGTGTCAATATTTGGAAGACCTGCATGATTCAGTAAACTAACAATTTCCAAATGGCAATATAGGTTATTATGAAATCATGCATGGTAAAGGATTCCTTTCTTCACATATTTAAAGTATGAAATGGACTGAAGAATTTTAGTGCAACAAAGTACACAAATTTCATTGATATGGCTTCGAATTCCTCTCTTTTAAGAACCTACCACTGTCAAGTTTTAGGGTAGTGTGAAAGAATAATATCCACAATGATCTCAAAAGGCTACTGAAATACTTTTCCCTTTTTAAAATATGTGCCTGTGTGAGGCTGGATTATCTTCATGTAATTCAACCAATACAACATTATCACACCAGATTGTATGTATAAGTATATATGAAAACCCAGTTGTCTTCTATTATGTCAGACATTAAAGAAATAAACTATAAAACACTCTCCAATATTTTTTATAGTTGTTCAGTTACAGTTGTCCCAATCCCCCCCCCCCATTGCTCTCGATAAATATTGTGCCTTTGGAAAATACAGTTCTTCATAAAACATGTAATGAGTTTACCATTATTTTTAAATGAATTAATGTTTATTTTTTAAAGTATGTTTTGATTATGCTATTACAGTTGTCCCTTTTCTCCCCTTTATTCCTCTCCACCCAGCACCCCCTCTCATCAGCATTACCTTCCCATAGTTCATGTCCATAGGTCATACATGTTAGTTCCTGGCTTCTCCACTTCCTATACTATTTTTAACTCTGTACCTACCATTTGCACCTTTTCCCCCTGTACTTTCCCCCTCCTTCTCTCCTCTCAACCTTCCTTTTGATAAACCTCCATAGGTTACTCATTTCTGTGATTCTGTTCTTGTTCTTGTTGTTTGCTTAGTTTTTTAGGTTTGGTTGTTGATAGTTGTGAGGTTCTTGTCATTTGACTGTTCATAGTTTTGATCTTCTTCTTAGGTAAGTTCCTTTAACATTTCATGTAATAAGCACTTGGTGATAATGAACTCCTTGAACTTGACCTTTTCTGGGAAGCACTTTATCTGTCCATTCTTTCTAAATTATAATTTTGCTGGATAGAGCAATTTTGGATGTAGGTCCTTGCCTTTCATGACTTTGATTATTTTTTTCCAAGCTCCTGCTTGCTGCATGGTTTCTTTTGAGAAATCAGCTGACAGTTTTATGGGAACTCCTTTGTCTCCCTTTCTCTTGCTGCTTTTAAGATTCTTTCCATATCTTTATTCATTGGTAAAGCAATTATGATGTGCCTTGGTGTGTGCTTCTTTGGGTCCAATTTCTTTGGGACTCTCTGAGCTTCCTGGACTTCCTGAAAGTCTATTTCCTTTGCCAGATTGGGGGAGTTCTCCTTCATTATTTGTTCAAGTAAGTTTTCAATTTCTTGCTCTTCCTCTTCTCCTTCTGGCTCCCCTATGATTCAAATGTTGGAACATTTAAAGTTGTCCCAGAGGTTCTTAAACCTCTCATATTTTTGAATTTTTGTTTATTCAATCTGTTCTGGTTGCACATTTGTATCTTCCTTCTGCTCCAAACCATTGATTGGAGTCCTGGTTTCCTTCCCCTGAATGTTGGTTTCCTGTATATTTTCATTTCACTCTGCATAGCCCTCACTTTCTCCTCTATTTTGTGACTATACTCAACCATTTCTGTGAGTATCCTGATTACCAGATACAGAGTGTTTTGAACTCTGTATCTGATAAGCTGGCTATCTCTTCATCACTGAGTTCTATTTTTGGAGTTTATTCACTTATTTATTTATTTATTAGAGAGGAAGGGAAGGAGAGAAGGAGAGAAATATCAATGTATGGTTGCCTCTCGTGAGTCCCCTGCTGGAAACTGGCCTGCAACCCAGGCATGTGCCCTGACTGGGAATATAACCAGGATCGGGTGTGGTTCACAGGCCCACGCTCAATCCACTGAGCCACCCACACCAGCCAGGGCTATTTTTGGAGTTTTGATCTGTTCTTTCATTCGGACCATATTTGTCTCAGTACACCTGTTACATAGTAAGGTGCAGAGCCTTAGTTATTTGCCAGGGTGGGGCAACCCACTTTGTTGCATTGTGGCCCAGTTTGAATGCGTGTTTCTTCTTCAATTCCTTGGTTGTTGGACTTCCATACAGTTTGATTTTCTGGTAGTTCTGGTTATTTTTTGTCCTTGTATTTGTTGTTGTCCTTTTGGTTGTGTGAGGAGGCAAAGTGTATCTACCTGTGCCTCCATCTTGGCTGGAAGTCTAAATGAATTAATGTTTCTATAAATTTTCTCATTTTAATTTCTAATAAAGATATAGTCCATATGAAGATAGGATTACTAAGGTGTAACCTAATTATTGTTATTGATCAGAATGTGTTCAGAGAGCTCCAACCGTGTGGCCATATGTACAAAGAAAGGAATCCCCTGAAATAAAAATGCTATAGAGGAAGCCTTAAATTATCAGTAGGTCTTAAAACACCCAAATCAAAGCAGAAGAAAAAGACTATAATAGAGACCTCAACCTACCTAAAACAATTTCAAACCAGAGTCTCAGCTGATATTCAGGGAATAATAATTTCTCACTAGTAAAAACGTGGCAAAACAAACACTCCTTGACAACTAAAATAAAGGAAGTGTTTCATTCAATCAGTAAAAGAATTATATTTGATACTACAAAAAAACTGAAAACACCTATAGCTAGCTATTTATCTACAACATTTTATGACATTAATCACAGTAGGGAGACATCACATTGAAAAGCAACTTCATCAGGACATATCCACTTATATTTCTAGTCCATACTAACCATTGCTGAACTAGTCATTTGGCTTGAAGGAGGAGAGCAAAAAGTGAAAGTAACTGCTCACAAGCAAAGACAGACCTTTACTTTCTCCATTCACAGTAGAACATGGCCATCTAGGAGCAGGTAGCAATGATATGGGAATTTACTTGTTCTACCAGTTGTGTATAAACAGAGAGAGCTAAGAGTACAAACATGTTAATTCTGCAAAGAACATCTGACTAACACTTAATTTTTAAAAGATTTAAACTAAAAGATGACACAAAATGCTAAGCATTTTTTGTTATGTTTATTAGCTCTGTCAGCCAAATGTGCTCCTGAATGACTGAAAGCTAAAATATCATCCCTAGAATAAGTCGAATTATACCTCTATTTCAAAATCAACATATGAAAACCCTCAATTTGAGTGAGTCATCTAAGTTGAAATGAATCCATTAACAGCATAGAAAGGTTAGTACTTTAGGAAGTCCAGCATTGGGGATAAGAATGGTAATAAAGACATCATATTTTCATTTAGGGTAGCATTAAACAAGTTATCTTCAAGTGAGCCGTAAAAACTGCCCTATTAATCTCACTGAACTATACACTTAAAAATAATTAAAAGGACAAATTTCGTTATACATATTTTATCACAATTTAAAACAATAATGTAATATACCAAAAGTTATTAAATAGTACATTTTAAATGAGTGAATGGTGTGACAGGTGAATTGTATTTCAATAAAACTAAGAAATAACAAAGCTGTTACAGATGATGAGGCAATCCTAGCTGTTAGTGTCCTCATGAAAGTTTATAAACTAGAGAGATCAACTGTAGTCCCACTAGTGAAGATGCTCAAATAAGCAGGAAGATGTATAATAGTCACTGCCAGTAAAATTAATTAAGGCCTCCTTGGCACCTAAACTTTTCTCATAATTTATATAAGACAAATCAACAAGAATACAAATAAAAAGTCACATACTTGGTTCCTTTAAGCATATTTAATATTTGAACTCTAATTTTTTATTTTCCCAGATCCAAGAGAAAGTTTTTAGATGACCAGTACTTTGTTCCAGAAACACACAGCCTTATCAGCTAATTCTTAAAAGAGTTATTTTACAAAGGTGTACCTGGATAATTAGAACAATAAAGTCTTTCGGGTATTTCAAAATGTGATCAGTGAAAAATACATGATTATTAATACAGATTTTTCTTGAAGGTTGTTCCAGATTTTTAAAAAGTAATTTCTGTTAAAGAGTACATGATTGTATGGTGAACAAGGAAAATAAAATGTTTTAGTAGGAAGAGGCTTATTAACAATAACCAACGGTGTGCATATTACAGTTATTTTTATAGAACACATGCATAAGTGTTGGCCCCTAGAAATGGCAGACAGAGCTTCCTTCTAGGAGGTACATTTTTTTCCTACCAATTTATTACCAACATCATCAGAACCAGTGGGAAGGCATAAGAAATGAAGCAAAGGAACTCTTTTCTTGAGGAAAGTTCAAACAATTTTGCAGACCACTTTGAAGAGGGGTAGAAAAATCAAGAAAAAACATGATTTAGAAAACAAAAATTGTAACACTAGGAGGAAAAATCCAGCAGAGAGGTAACTGGAAGGTCCTGCTAATTGTCTATTTTGAGATCCTCTGTACTCAGTTCTCAATGATGTCTTCTATGACATACAGGCAAGAAAATATTGACCAAAGCTCTAGTCCAATAATAGTACTAAATAACACCACCTTCAGAGAAAATAGTTTCCAGTTTGAAATACAGATGCTCCATGTAATACACCAAATTTACCAATATCAAAAAGAAAAAAGTATACAAATAAAAGATAACCTAAAAAAGCATATTATTTTCTTTACCTTCTAAAAATAATAAAAGACAGACTTTTCCCCTCTACTGTCAAATTAGCTCCTCTCTTCAAAATCGAATAAAACTTTTTTTCCTTTTTACCTAAACTTTAACTATTTATTATACTGCATGGGAAGTATATTTCATAAAAAAGCCACAAAGTTTATGAAATATACCTCACATGCAGTATAATAAATAGTTATAATTTAGGTTTGAAAAGCCAAGATAACTCAAGCAGTCCAAGTTAGCTGATATTAAGGTATGTAAAATATGTAGCTTCAAGGGCAGTAATCAATATTTTAAATTAGAGCACTCTGAGCACTTACTGATTTGCCATGATTAACTCTGTATTCTCTTCTCACTTCAAATGTAATTTGCCGCTTAGTAGCAAAGGAGCCATTAGGCCCAATACAATAGCTAAACCCCAGCTCTCCTGCTCTGGGAATGTTGCTTTGTCCACTACCTTTGGGCTCTTCTGAATGGAAGTAGATTTCAACATCTGGTCTTGTAACTCTGAAAATGACTTTAATGGTAACCATTTCCACTCAAGGACAGGTTGAATTCCATCATCCTGAAAGGCATTATTAATATCAAAGTAAAATAGATATGATTATAACAGCCAAAATAAAATGGAAGGTGTGGGAGGCCAGGCTAGGAAGGAGAAGGGAAGAAGTTCAGCTGGTAAGATAAAAAGAACACTTGAAATTATGGGATCTTTTCAAAATTACACTTCATTTTGGGGCTTCATCAGAAAATCTACATATAAATTACTTTAGAAGTACTAAAGCTATGGTCAAAGTATTTTCTAGTTAGCCCTGTTATTATTCCAAGGATAGGTTAAACTGCAAGAAAAGAACTGCAAATAGTTGCTAAGGACAAGATATTTGCTGAGCTAGAAAAGGAACCAAAACATTGTTAACTTATAAAACTTCTTAAGTGAGTGCTAGAGAATTACATAATTTCCCTGTAGTGTCTGAAGGTGAGGTGAAAGTTCTATTTATATTTACCTTTTTCCTGATTAACTGCCCACTGATGGTATTTGTGTCAAGTGGCTACAGTGAAACCCTTTGTGAGCAACTGCATTATTTTTAGCAGCACAATGTGACCATTAGTTTCTACTGGCTTAAGAAATCAGAAAGTTCAAGTCCATTGAACTTGAACTTTCTAAAGTTCAAGTTCACAGCTTCTGCTTCTAAAGTTTTTAAATCTCATTCTGATTTAATTTATACTTGGGTCTACAAACCAAAATGTAATTATAATTTATAAATGAGTGTCCAACAGTCCAAGTTGGTCAGTTTTCTTAAAGACATCACTTCTGAAAAGATAGCAACAGGAATCTGGACATAAATGAGCTTGTTATAAGCTGTAGTGCTGTTTATAAGAGTAATTGGGAATCCTTACCACTTGCAATGAGTGTGTGTGTGTGTGTGTGTGTGTGTGTGTGTGTGTGTGTGTGTGTGTATATATATTTGGACTGCAGGGAAGAATAGCATTACATCGTGACTACTCATGAAGTTCACAGGGCTCTACTGAAAGGTAAGAGCAGTGGATTAACTCACTGCATATTAACAGAATTTTAAGATTTGACAAATGATTTAGTTTCAATTGGCAAAAATAATCCAAAACATATATACCTAATGCATAACGAAAATAAGAGAAAACCAACAAGTGAAGGAGTTTTTGAGTTACAATTCTGAAACCTTTATCCTCTATAGGAAGCTTCCAATATACTAGTTACTCTAGAACAAGCAGTTGCCAACACCTTGCTTGCAGTATCCAGTGTCTGTACTGATTTGCAATTTTTTAAGGTCAGTCAAGCACCAGTGTGGAAAAAGTACTAGCAGTAAAGTCAGAAGAAGTGCTTCTGAAGCTGGTTTGGGTAGCTCTGCCTTCTCCACATCTTTCAACTCCTCTCTTGGCACTCATTCCTTATTTAACTCAAAGAGTCCTTTGGCACAATCAGTGTAAAAATTAGAGTCAGACCTCCAGACACTAACATTTTACTGGCCATTTACTCAGCAGTGCCTGTGGCTAATGACAGCCAGTGTTCAACTCAGGAGAGATTCAGTTATATAACCTTCCAAAGTCTCCAAACCCTCCTCAGCAACTCCCACCACTGCCACCATCTGAAGCATCTCCTTTTTTTTTTTTTTTTTTACTTTCTGTTCAATTTTCAGGAATAATTTTACACAAGTGCTGAAGTCTGATGCATAATTATAACAGTGAAACAATTATTCAGAAAAACAAATTTATACTTAAGAGAATAAAATTTGTTTCCTCTCCCTCCCAAATCCCAACCCTCAACAGAAAAGAAAATAGAAAAAAACACCTATTTTCAAGTGCCAGGTATTTAGTACATTGAGGATTCCTAGTAACTGGAAGTTGATCCCAGCTAGAAAAGAGGTGTTTGCCTCAGATGGGAGGAAACCCACCTGAGTAGCACATAGCTCAAGTCTTTTGCACAGAGGAGCCACAGGTGTACAGTGCCTTGAGGGAATCATTAAGAAGCAGCATACTGGACAGCAGAGGGTATGAGATCCAGTTTAGAAGACTAGATGCTCCTCCTTCCCCTTCTCACTTCCTTCTTTTCTTTCCCTCTTTACCCAACCTCCTAATACCCCATCCTGAACTCTTTGCTTCAGAAGCAACTGATCCTTCTGTATACTATATACAAAGGGCCACAACTCTCATTACTCACTTAAAAAATGGCAAAATAAAAATTAAAATGTGCTTTCAAATATGGAATGAAGTCAAATAAATACATCTGATTTTCTCATTTTCTTAAGTCTAAATAAAATTTCATATCCTAAACCCAAAGCACTATACATTTGGTTTTTGTTCTGAATCAAAATGAATTTCTGATACAGGAAAGCAGAGTGAGAAAGGAATATTCACTGACAGTTATGCAGCTGCCAGACTGTGAATAACTAGTCCTCTTCTGGGATCCCTGGGACATGACTAACCCCAGGGGCTTCACAGGCAGATCTCATCACATACTCTCTTTTCATCCACACTGGAGCCAGGATGTGCTGATGCAAGGCTGATGCTCAAAACCCAACAACCTCCAGGACACACAGCTCTAACTTTTATCTGGAAGAATAAAGATATGTAGGTATCAAATTAAGAAGAAAGAACATATCAACACTTAGAGAATGACTATGAAATCTGTGGCAATGGTTACTTATATCTTTGTTTTTGGATCAGAACAGAACAGCCTCATTCAGGAGCAAATGAATACAAACTGCTGTACTGAACGCGGATCCACTTGTAGTCATAAAGATAAAAGTACGTGAGAAGACATGAGGAGGGATCAAGCTTCCACCTTTAGGAAGTTATAGCAGAACTGACAAGTTTCAAAGGGGATTTAGGATTTTGGGCTTACCACCACTCTGCCTTCTGCTTTGCAAAGGTGAAGAAGACAGAAAAAAAGGGTGGCATGGGAACTGGCCACTACAGTTCCTCTTAGAAAACAAAGAGCTGAGTGAGCTGATAATAACTTCTTCTTGATTACTGATGTGTGCAAACAATTTTTTAAAGATAAAAAGGAATCTCATAAGGCTTCTGTTTTACAGAATAGGAAATAATTTCATCTACTGCATTTGTTCAGGGAGAATGATTCTAGAGTCTGGAATGTACAACTTTCACATACCTGAGTGGTTGTCTGTGAGGGCTGATCCAGCCAGCCTTTGCCAAAGAATGGTGTAACTTTCCTCCACCTTCTGTAAAACAAAGCCAACATGTTTTTCATTTGAATATCCTAAAAATATTTTTTGAAAAGAGGAAAAAATGTTTTTTTTTATATTATAGGTATGCTTCCAGATTTCAACATAAACATAATTAAAATTTTGTTACTGGAGGAAAAATGTGAATTTTATTCCTTTTTACCTGTTTCTGCTTTAACTTAAAACTTAATCATGTGAAAAGAAAGTAGAGGCAAGAGTAAAGAGTAAAGAGTAAAAGTGATTCTCCCAACCCTAGGAGTCACCCTGAAAATGGTCCCACATTTAGTATGTGAGACCTACACATAATGGACTTTAGTATAACTCCTCTCATCAGCCTCAGGATGAAACTACATGTAATCATATGAAAAAGGGGAAACATATCATTTGAAGTTAAAGAAAAACTAATGAAGACTAGCCTTTAGCTAAAGGCTAAGAACAGTTTTAACACTGTCCCTAAAGCCTCCAACTGAATGATGTAATGAAAGAACATTTGGGCTCTAGAAGCTGTCTGCTATGGCAAACTTTAAAATATAGACCTTTCCTTGGAAATTACCAACAAGTCCTAAGTATGTTGAAGTCTGAGATACCTTTAAGTGTTCAAGGTCAGCCTCTATCTTATGAATGTACTCCATGATCTGTCTTTCTGAATCTGCACAAGTGGAGGCACTCTGGGTCTCATAACAGGAATCTTCTATAGTTCCCCAGCACTGCTGGACCATGAATTCTGTTGTGAATGGTGAAACTGCCCCATCAGAAAGAGCATTCTGGAGAGAATGTTGCGGCTGGTGGGTAGAGTCCACAAAGGGGTGGCCTTTCATGGGTTGTGGAGGAAGGGAGGAGGTGACCTCCTCATCTGTGGAGCTCTCCTGTACTGTTTCGTAGCCATCAAGGATCAAATAGTTTCCTATTGGTATAGGCAGAACAGTTTTGTGAGATTTAGTAATGCTATCAAAACATCAGATATGCTGACAACTTTAAAAGCTGTTAAAGAGGGGTGAGAACGATTAATTCCAAAATTCCCAAGTTTAATTTTAAGTACATCAGAATTTTCACTTCAGGTTCAAGTTAAACTTAGAAATCTTTCATGGTACTTTCTGAATAATTTCATATTAGTTAGCATTTTAAAGTTAAGAGCTGAAAACTAAGTCCGTATATGATCTTACTGCCATTTCCCCTGCCAAATACCTTTCTTGCCTCACCTTCTACTGTTTTTATCTTCCTTGCCCTATATTCCTTAACCACAAAGAACTTGCTCTTGCCATATAGCCATATTCTTCTCTGCTATAACATCTGCCTCCAGATATTCATGTAGTTTCTTCCCCTGGGTCTGCTCAAATGCTACGTCAGCAGACGCCCTCTTCCCTGATCACCTTGTCTACTTCCATTACTCTCTGCTGTCCCTTAGTGAGACTTATTTTTCCTATAGATACTTTTATATCTGACATCTACTTATTTGTTTACTTATTTATCATTACTCTGTCCCCTAGTGGTACTTAACCTTCATGAGAATAGTTGATTTTTATGTTTATTCAATGCTACATCTCCCAGCATCTAGACTAGATTAAAAAATTATTTAGTGCAATAATGAATCAATAACACATCACACACAATGCCTGCAAACCCAAACAACATGCACTTTAGCACACAGGACAGTTAACGGCAATCAAAATCAAAGTGTAAATGTGAAAGAACTTGCCTGAGATGTGTAAATTAGCATCCTTTTCTTCCGTTTTAACTGCTCCATCACCTTCTAATGGATTATCATCACTATGTACTTCACAGGCATCAAAAAAGTGCTCTCCACTCTCATCAAGACCTCCTTCTGGCTCTGCAGGAGTAATCTCTGGGGTCATAATCATGTGGTCCAATACTAAAATGTTACTTGCCTGGCTATCTTGGAATGCCAGTAACAATGAATCCCGTGCAATGTAAGAGTCAGTTGAAGCCTGGGGACTGTAACAAGCTGAAATGTCACCAGTTTCAGTTCTAAAGGGCATCTGTGTTTCACCAGGATGATAGGCCTTAATAATTTCAAAGTTCTGGGTTTCACTGTCTCTCTGCACCCCCGGGGAGGCTGTCCTGCATGTTGAGAAATGTGGCCAATCTTCCTGAGTGCTCTTCTCAGTCAAATTCAGCTTCTGTACCAGCAACTGCTTCAACAAACCCACTAAAAGATTCAGGAAGGAGGGGGGAAATGTACATTCACAACTCAGAGTGCCAAAATTAAACTAGTTAGTGGAATTACCAATTATATCTCAAAGTAAGCACCTATTTAGGAAAACATACAGTCAAAATATTAATTTCATACAGTCATTTTTTGTTTTGTTTGAAAAATAAAATCAAACACCATCTACAGATGGTTTATATTAAACTAGACTTAAAAAGATCTAAATATTTGTAATGGAGAGGTACTCCTATTTTGAACTACTAAGTAAACAAAGCCATGTCTTCCTCTATTTTTCTTCCATATAACTGGAATAATATCCACATGGTACTTCTTAAACAGATGTAGACACACTGTGTTAAGCTAGACATGAAGGTTCTATTTTATTCCAGACACAGACACTATATACACAGGCATCATTTTTTCTAATTTTATTAGCCACACAGAACATTTATTTTATCATTTAGAATAATCTACAGAATTTCCTTAAATAGTGAAGAAGAAAATAGACTTCTTTGTGGAAAAAATTTAACTCTGATGATTGGCAGTATATATAATTTTAAAAAATAAGAAAATATTTATTAGTTTTTATAAATGACCTTACTCATAGCAAAGCTTCCTTAGATTGTTAAAAACAGAACAAATTTGATTTTGAATGGGCAAGTTAATGCTGTAAGGTCAATTCATTCATTGTCTCAGTAACTCAACAATGACAGAGTTACTGAGACAAGGTTAGTCAAACCATTAGAAATCTTAATTGTACTTATAAAAGCCTAACCACTATGTGCTATACTTGAAACTAATATAATACTGAATGTCAACTGTAATTTAAAAATATTTTTAAAAATTTAAAATAAATCATTATTGATATTAATTCAGAAGACTCTAGAATTAATTCGGTTTTAAAGAACTTGACTGGTTCCCTACTTTCAACTCTGGCTTAATTTCTATCGCCTGTTTCTCCACATAGCTATGAGTCTTTGACCCTCTGTCTTTCTGCTTTACATTCATTTTCTGAGAGATGCTCTAAAGTCTTATGGCTTCGACACTAAAATCCATCTCTTTCCCTAGTCTCTCCAGAAAGTTCCAGTCTTAAACTCTACCGTCCTACTCATCATTTCTTCTTAAGTGGCTTATCATTCATTATATTAAGCTCAACATGTTTTAAAATTAAGCCTATATTCTTTGGCAAAAGGGGGGGGGAGTGTAACAGTGGGCAGTGTTGGTTCTTTATGACTTTAATTTCTGATAAAAAAAATTAAAATTATTTCTAAATTTTCCCTTTCTTTTACCCTCACATCCAAACAAGTTCATTGTTTTAAATATTTGTTGACTCCTCACTTTATATTTATTCCTCTGACATCATTCTAATTCAAACCCTTTTAGCCTCAAGCCCAGGCTACTACAATAGTTTAATGGTAACTGTACCACCCCAAACCTCTTTCCATTAAAAACCTTTAAAAGCTCGCAGTAAAATTAATCTCTTTTCATTAGTTGTAAGATAGTTTAAAAACTTCAAATGGTTCTCTACCACTAAAACAATCATTCTCAAGCTTCTCCCCAACTCCAAATACGCCTGAGAAATGTGATACACTCCCATTTGTAACTGATTATCAATGAGTGGAGAGGGAGGGGCTTAGCTAACACAGTGGCAAGGACCATCCACTCTTGTGGGTGTGTACATGTTCAGGCACATATGTGAAAAGGATGGGCCTTGGTGGAAAATACTACGATTTCCATAAGAATATTAGAAAAATAATTTGTAGTTTGAAAAACCCTCAAAACACTGATGTGCCATCCTTGAAGTTCAGAAGACTCAATCTAGTATTCAAGGTTCACAGCAGCTGGGCTCAACAACACATCTGCTACCTTCCCATCCTTATCTCCCACAACTCCTGTAACCTAAATGGTTTACTAGAGGCCTACTGGTCTATTTTTTGCTCACTGAACACTCTCAGAGTTTCTCTCCTCTCTGGTCCTACTATTAGTCTTGTCTGAATGACTTCTATTCTTCCAAATACCTATCAGAAACTTACTCCTTCTTCAAGGCATTAATCACATCTCTCTTGTTTTCTGATGCTTTCCTTCCCTGGTCACCCCTACGAAATCATTGTTAATATACTTGTGTTGCTTGTTTATTTAAAAATATGGGCAAAGTTTCTATCATATTCCCAACTAGATTATAAAAATATTGCAGGAAAAAATCAGTTATATACTTCTTTGGATTCTCCCTAAATGATTGCAGAATACATTACATAACTCTGGTACTTATTATCTGCATTAATTTATAAATAAAACTTACAATTCCTTAGTGCATCCAATGCCCACTGTCCTTCCGAGACAGGCAGGTGTGAATATGGAATTGTGATTGGATGTTTTATTCCAACTTCCTTTACAGTCCCATCTGCATGCTGTTCCTTTGCAAACTCTCTCTCAGACACAAAGAGATCATCTACCTCTGATTTCCCAGAGGCATCCAGTGAATGAGGTTGAGCTTTTGATGATATTAAGGGAGACTCTAATTCCAAATCTCTGTCTGTTCAATGAAACAGAAAAAGTAGAACATATCTTTCAACTTTTAACATGAAATGTTCAGGAAATACTTGGGAAAAAGTAACCACATGAGCTAAAAAGTCTCTGTTAAGTAAAATACATTTAGAGCAGTGTTACAAGGCTAATAAGCAAAGCTTGTTAAAATAAATAGCTGATGCCAGAATCTGCATAAACCAAAACAGTTAAAGTTTCTCTTAATTTTAGTAAGTATTATATGGACTAAATTCTTCCAGGTAAACTAACAAATAAATTTACCTGTGCTCTGCAGACAAGTTACTGAAATGCCATGATGTTCCACTTTTATTTTTGGAGGTTCTTCATCATTGTCTCCTCTATAGAAGAAAGAAAACATTCTTTAAACTTCATGAGGTGCCTATACATCATTGCAACAAAATGTAAAATTACCCATTCCTTTCCTGACCAAAACCACAAAGTCAGTCCTCCTACAAGGCAAAGGCACACTCACTCGCAAGGTGGTGACTGTGGCAATGGAATTGGCTTTGTGGATTGCTCCTTCACTGATGTAGCCATCTGACAGATTAGGTCCTGCCAGCTGTGAAATTTTGAAAAGAATCCAAAATACAAAAGGGAAAGTAAAAAGAAATGTCCTTTAAACACACCGAGAAATCAAAAATAAAAACAAAACAAACCAGAAACAAACAAAACCAAAGAATAAAACCCAACAAACAAAACACTCTATTTTCTGCCAGAGAACACTATATTTTTTCCAGACTATAATATGCATTCCCCCCAAATTTGGGAGGTAAATGGGGGTGCATCTTATCATCTGAATGTAGCACACCTGGCTCACTGTGGGGGGAGCGGTGGAGTGGGGTCACGTGTTATTAAATATTTTACCACATTTTTTGCTTCAAAAATTTTTCCCCCGTTTTCCTTCTCTAAAACTTACGTGTGTCTTATAGTCCGGTGCATCATATACTCCTAAAAATATGGTGTGTGTGTGTGTGTGTGTGTGTGTGTGTGTGTGTGTGTGTATATACATATATATATATATATATAGGCAATAACTATTAAGTGGAGATTATACATACTCTATACCTTAAAGAAAAACCTTATAACATAATGGATACTCTACCCATTAAAAAATCTGCACTTGATCCTTCTAGAATCTTTTCTTTAGAAGAAATACTTTCAGTAGAACAAAATCAAAAGAGGCATCTAAAAAGAAACGAGGTCTCAGAACCTATCTAAAAGACTACAGAGGAATTGTTTGTTGTTTGGTTGTCAAAAGTCCTATTGAAGAAACAAAATTTGTAAGATTATATTCAGGATATGAAACAGTAGAGTACCAGAGGGTAGGGGGGTAGTAAAGGGTAAAGGTGGTCAAATATAAGGCCATGAAAAGAGGTTTGACTTTTGAGTACTAACCACATAATGCCATACACATATGATGTGTCATAGAATTGTACACTTGAAACCTATAAAATTTTATTAACTGATTTCACCCCAATAAATTTAATTAAAAAATAGAGCAAGGTAGCTATATCTAATACATACACAGTCTTTTCAGAAACTGTCTGTGCCACCAGTTCATAAATTTGGGCTCCATTGTCTGACATGGAAATGACGAAAAAAGCTTTGTTATCTAGGGAAAAAAAGACAAAAATTACTCTCATAATATGACCTACAGAGAACATTTTGAGGGTACTGATAATATTATTCTGCATCTAATCCAAGTAAAGGTTACATATATTCACTTTGTAAATTTGTACTTACTTTGTAAAACTTCACCAAGCTATACACTTAATATTGGTGCAACATATTGTATGTTATACTGTATTTATTATACTTCAATGAAGCAAAGATTATAAAAACTAGCACTGATTCCACAGTAATTTATTAGAATCAAAAGGTCAAAGTATCTAAGTTCCTAAACTAAACACTATCATTCTTTGGCAATTATTTTGAATTGGCCTTTTGCTCAAGAGTTAGTTAATAATATTCAGTGGGTTTTAGAGAATCAGAGGTCATAAATTTTCCCTGCCATCATGGAACTAATGAGCTTTAAAAGAGATCTCTGGCCAAAGAACAAATATACATTAAGTCACAGACACAGACAGTAGTGTGGGGATGGACAGAAGGAAGGGAGTTGAAGGATAAGTGGAGGCAGGCAAAGGGGGGGAAATGGCGACATCTGTAACAGTGTCAACAATATATTAATTTTAAAAAGATTTCATTGTTAACATCATTAATACATAATTTACTACCTGAAACTGATTTCAAAAACCCAATCTACACCCAGGTCTTCAGGTTTTGCCTTTTGCCTTTTTCCCCCCCACTAAATCAAAAAATATATCACTCTAATAAAAGTCTTTTCACGGGGATTATCTTCCAATTCACTATTTTCATTGATGTCTATCAACGATTTGAACATGGAATAAAGAGGAAAGTAACATGCAGAAAATTTTCAAGTGCAAAAAATTACTCAGACTATAGGTGTCCTAATTAGGGAGTATAAAGACTTAATTCACTTTATTTTTTAAGGTTTTATTTATTTATTTTTAGAGAGAGGGGAAGGGAGGGAGAGGGAGAAACATCAATGTGTGGTTGCCTCTCACATGGCTCCCACTGGACACCTGGCCTGCAACCCAGGCATGTGCCCTAACTGGGAATGGAACTGGTGACCCTTTGATCCACGGCCAGTGCTCAATCCACTGAACTACACCAGCCAAGGCTTCATTCATTTTATAAACAGTAAATAAATTTCATTTAATTTGTATAAGAATATAAAAAGAAAAAACTTTATGGCAGTTGTGCTATTTATATAACATTGAATATCTTACAGAATTTTACAATGAAACTGGGGGTTAGTATCATTCAACAGACATACTCACCTGTTGCTACTTGTCGAACCAACACTGTATTCAACTTAATGACAGGGCTAAATGTGTGTTTGCTATCAGCTGTAGATGCCAGAATCTTACTATGACACCTTAACACCAGTCTATCATCCTGCTTTTGTAACAATACCAGCATGTCTTCCAAAAGCAATGTATAGAGATCTAAAAATAAAAAATACAGAAAAAGGTGATTAGTATAAAAATTGAGATGTTTTATAAACTTTATAGTAATTCAACAGAGATGTTTTCTGTTAAATCTAGTACATTTTAATAATTGACTTGTTACTGTATTTTTATTGTTGTTCAGTTACAGTTGTCCCTCCTTCTTCCCCATTACTCATGCTTACCCTGTAGCCCCACACCCAAAGTCAATCACCAACCCCCTCCACTGTCTGTGCCCAACAGCCCTGTATTCATGTTCCTTTGCTTGCCATTCCCCTTCTTTCCACCATTTTACCCCTCCCGCCTCCCCTCTGGTCACTCTCCGTTTGTTCGTTATTTCCAAGTCTCTGGTTCTATTTTGCTCATTTGTTCTGCTGATTAGGTTCCACTTACAGGTGAGATCACATGGTATTTGTCTTCCACCATTTGACTTACTTCACTTAGAATAATGCTCTCCAGTTCCAACCAATCTATCACAAAGTGTAGGAGTTCCTCCTTTCTTTCTGTTGCGTTGTATTTCATTGTGTAAATGTACCACAGTTTTTTGATCTAGTCATTTACTGGTGGGACACTGAGGCTGTTTCCAGCTCTTGGCCACTGTAAATAATGCTGCTATGAACATTGAGGTACATAGGTTCTTTTGAATTGGTGGTTCAGATTCTTAGGGTATAGTTCAGGCAGTGGGATCACTGGATCAAAAGGCAGTTCCATCTTTAGTTTTTTGCGGAAATTCCATACTGTTTTCCACAGTGGCTTCATCAGTCTGTATTCCTACCAGTCTACTAGTATTACAGGAAAATGAAGCAACCAGACACCGAGGGATTCTGGAGTACGAGGTTTATTAACGTGCACGGGCTAAGGAGCCAAACTCCAAATTCTGAGCCCCGAATAAAGGATTCTTGGGGTTTATATAGTCTACGGGGTCTTCCTGTCTATGTAGCAAAGCGGGATACAAAAGCGGAATGTGGTAATTAGTTCTAGCTACGTGGCAGAAGCAGAGTACAAAGGCTAAATGTGAAAATTAGTTTTAACTGCGGGGGTGCTAGTCCTAGCCCTTGTGAATATCCTACTGTTTGCTTTTCCCAGATGGCCTTATCGCTCTCTCAGGGCGCTTGGGGTTTGGGTAAACAAAGATTCTTCAAAGCTTCCCATATCACTAGGGTTCCCTTTTCTCCACAACCTTGCCAGCACTTGTTGTTTGTAGATTTGTTAATAACAGCCATTCAGATCGGTGTGAAGTGGTATCTCATTGTGCATCTCTCTGATGGCTAGTGACACTGAGCATCCTTTCATATGCCTATGGGCCATCTGAATGTTCTCCTTAGGAGAGTGCCTGTTCAGGTGCTTTGCCCATTTTTTAACTGGATTGATTGTCTTTGTGGTGTGGAGTCGTGTGAATTCTTTACATATTTTGGAGGTCAAACCCTTGTCTGAGATGTTGGCATATATATTCTCCCACATGGTTGGTTCCCTTTCGATTTTGCTGGTGTTTTCTTAGCCATGCAGAGGCTTTTTAGTTTGATGTAGTTCCACTGGTTTATTCTTTCCTTATATTCCTTGCCCTAGGGGACATATGAATGAAAATATTGCTGTGTAGGATTATCTGAAAATTTTCTGCCTGCATTTTCCTCTAGGGCTTTTTTGGTGTCATGACTTATATTGAAGTGTTTTATCCATCTTGAGTTTATTTTGGTTTATGGTGTAAGTTGGTGTTTCATTCATTTTTATTGTATTACAAAATTACACTAAAGTGTTAGTCTGTGACTGACAAGAAATGAAAAACAGTGGTTCCTCAGTTTTAGATTTAGTGATCTAAAGAAAGATCATTCAAATATAAGAATGATGGAGATAGAATCATGACAAAGTTTTCTGCTTCATCCTTCAATGAGTAACACTTCACATAAAACAAAATCACATGAGTGTATCTTCTGTAAACACATAAATAACACAAACTAGCATTGCTCACTGTTTTATAACTGAAAATGGTGAATGGTTATCTCTCTTTCAAGAAACTTTCCCATTCTTTTCCTTTCTTCACTCTCTCCAAAACTGACAGATATTTGACCTACCAATAGTTTTATCTCTATTCACCTTCCAAACCAATGGCCCTTCATGAATCATCTTCCTTTTTGTTAAATCCAAATTCTGTCAAAATAAAAAGAATTATATAAATTATTCCTAAGCATTTAGTGGGGTAATATTTCACAGTCTCTTTTCAAGAAATTCTTAATGTAAAATTACCATTTACATTCACTATTATTATTGATATCTTTCAACTATGAAGTAAAAAGCAAATTAAAGAAAACTGCATAAAATTTTCTAAAAAGGAAAAGAATCCTGGGAAACATTCAGCAGTGCTGTCTTCTAAATCTCACTGTAAACAGAGGATATTAGCTTATAAAATAAAGCAGTATTTGTCTTTCACTAACTAGTTTATTTCACTTAGCATAATAATCTCCAGGTCCATCCATGCTGTTACAAAAGGTAAGAGTTCCTTTGTCTTTATGATTTCACTTATTTGTGGAATCTAATGAACAAAATAAACTGACCAACAAGAGAAACAGAGGCATTGATACTGGAACTGAGAGCTTTCAAGAGGGATCGGGGAGGGGAGACTGGATGAAAGAAGGTGAAGGGATCAGCCAAAGGACACATATGTATAATCCATAGACAGAGACAATAGTATGGTGATGACCAGAGGGAAGGAGGGTTGGGGAAGAGGTGGGCAAAGGGCAGGGAAAATGGGGACATTTGTAATAGTGTAGACTATAAAAATAAGGTAAAAAAATAAAGCTATAAATATTAAGCCACATATTCTCAACCCACTGTTTAATTTTTTATAAATAACTAGATGAGGATAATGCATAGCTTATTTATAATACAGCTCTAAGTTCCAGACTCTAGTTCCAAAGGAACTTCTAAGGAATGGCGTTTATGAAAAGTCCAGAGAGTACTCAGGCTTGATCTAAATATTAATAACTTAGTAAGAAAATCATCTTGAAGTATAAGTAGCTCTAGAAAAGCCTCATTTTATAGTCAGGGCTAAGCACGTTAGTATGCTTTTGGATAAGTTGTGATATAAGCTATTATATATAAGTCTATTTTAACAGCCACCAAATAAATCTGCCAAAACAACCACCTAGTGCAATAGACCAAGAAAGAGTTAAAAGCTTAAGTAGCTGTTAATAGAAAAGTCTCATATGCTAAAAGTGACCATTACTAAAGTTCCCATAGCAAACAGCCCTATTCATATTCAAAATATACAACACAGTAAGTTAAACTTAATAAGTAATGTTCTTTAGCCTCCTCTAAATTTCTATCACAAAACAGTCTCACAGAAATACTCTTTTAGTGAAAGACTAAAGTAATCTTTTTATACAGATTCGACATTTAATGAAAGAACTCAATTCAGGTTATGTATGTTCCTACTGAGATGTTAGTTACCTGCCAGGTCTTTAGTAAATTTTATTTTTTTAAATAATTATTAGACCATCTCTCACCCTGAGCTCTTCAACATTTGGGTACTCTGACAACTTCAGATTGGAAGTATCAAGGCGGCGCTGATAATCTTCTAAACGCTGAAAATTAGACAGGATAGAGCAAAGATTACTGCTTTGGGTATCAATGACCTCCCCATTCCCAAATCAAATGAACATTTTTTTTCTTTTTCTTTTTCTTTTTTCCCAAATGGACATTTTTTAACCTACATTTTACACAGCTCTTTGCCATACTGGACAAAACTGACAACACACTCTTTCTTAAAACATTCCTTCCCTTGGTTTTGCAAACTCTCCTAGCTTTTGCCTTACATCTTTGGTTCTCTGCTTTCTCAATCTTTTCAAATTCACTGGCTTCTAAGTAGCTTGTATTTATTTTCTGAACATGTAAGTCACATACATGTACAAAATTCAGAAGGTACTACAAGGTACACAATAAAAAGTAAGTCTCCCTTCAACTCTGTTCTGTTGCCTCGCCACCCCAATTTCCTCTAAAGAATTACCCACTTCTTTGGTAGTCTATGACAAAAATTCCAACCAAATAGAATATACGTGTATGCTTGTCTCTTTACATGTTATGATGTATATATCCTGCAACAAGAAAGATACGGTAGCATAATATGTTTATATACACATTTTTGTGTGTATGTGTATCACCAATACATCCTGAAGACTGTTACATATTAGTACATAGATAGAGAAAGCTGTCTCATTTTTTAAATGGCTGCATGGTATTCAATTCTGAATAAGCTACATAGTTATTTAACTACACCTTACTGATGGACATATAGGTTACTTCAAATTTTTTCCTTTATCAGGCAATATGATGTGGGAAGCTTTGGAAAACCTTTGTTCACCCAAAACCCAGGTGCTCTTGGAGAGTGATAAGGCCGTCTGGGAAAAGCAAACAGCAGGATAGTCACAAGGACTGGGACTAGTACCCCTGCTGATAGAACTAATTTTCACATTTAGCCTTTGTACTCTGCTTCTACCCCATAGATAGAACTAATTACCACATTCCACTTCAGTATCTCGCTTTGCTACATAGACAGGAAGACCCTATAGGCTATATAAACCCCAAGAATCCTTTGTTCGGGGCTCAGAATTTGGAGACTGACTCCTATGGGACCGTGCATGTTAATAATAAACCTCGTACTCCAGAATCCCTCGGTGTCCGGTTGCTTCGTTTTCCTATAACATTTGGTTCCTTGACTGGGAAGCGACCCCACACAAATTCCGGCCTACTTGCCACCGACTGGATAAGGGGGGAGGTGGCCGGAGATCCAACTGGGGAAGCGGGGGTGCACGTGCCCTGAGATTTCTCAGACCCCATCCGGTTGGGGTGATGGCCGCAGGCCTGCACTCCAGGCGGGAAGTGAGGGTTTCGGACTATGACCTGACCTGAGACCAGAGGCGCCAAATTGGTAAGAGCCCCGGGGACTTGACCCGAGACCGGAAAGAGGCTGATCGCCTCAAATCAGAACTTTGGGTCGCATTCATGCTGAGTCCGACTGCTTGACCCTCACCCAGGGAGGGACCTGATTTTGGGTCAGTTTCATGCTGAGTCCGACCGCTTGACCCTCACTCGGGGAGGGATTGTTTAAACTCGGAGTGCTTGAGAGTGAAAATGTGAGTGACTGTGTTTGTGGCTCCACGGGCTGGTCCTATGGAGCAAGAGTGGGCCCCAGCATAGATGCTGGTTGGTTAGAGGTCTTTTGCACCTCTGAGTAGCCAGCATTTGGAGTAGGCTGGCCCCTGAAGGAACACTAAACTTAGGTATAATTAGGACAGTCCACCTCATAGTAACAGGCAAGCCAGGACACCCATATCAGTACGTTAACATAGACCGCTGGCAGGAATTAGTGAAGGACATGTTGTCAGGGTGCAGGTCAGAAGCCTAAGACAGTGGGAAAGGCTGGCAGTAGGTGAAAAGTGGTGCAATCCAGTGTTTTAGTTGCCCGGTCAAGAGGAACACGCTGCCCCCATTTTCAAAGAAGAGCCAGAGAAAGAGCCGCCTATCAGTCTACCTCCCCTATATGCTCTGGAAACTCTTGGCCAGACCCGGGGAAGCAAAGACCCTCATCTGCAACCAAGATTCTGGCTCCTGCTGGTCTCTGGCGGCAGAGTAGAGACCCTGCTCAAAGGGGTCGGCCTCTCTAAAATATGCCCCAGTATAACAGAGCAGTGAGGCAGAGGCAGTGACAACCCCCCTCTGCTGGAGGGACAAGAGGTGGCTGAGGCCCACATGGCCCCCTGTACCTGGTCCTGCCAAAGGGGTTTCCAGGGAGACAAGCAGGGCTGCCCCAGCCAAGCCCCATGATTGAGCCAGCAGCAAGCTGTGAAGACCTCCTGGGCCTGTGCTGGTGGCCCTGGCAGTGGGTCCTTTAGGAAACCAGATACCTCCCAGGAGCAGGGAGCCACCAGATTGCCTAAGAAAAGAAAGAGACCAGAACACTGGAGCACGGAATGAGACCAGTGCGCCTACTGCAGAGAGAAGGGCTACTAGAAAAGAGAGTGCCCCAAAAGGAAGGAAGAAAAGCCCACTGGCGGGCGACAAAGACCAGGATTATAAGCACCTACAGTCCTCAGATTAGCTGGCTTAGACCCAGACCAGACTGCCACAGGGCTTCAGAAACTCTCGGACTCCCCTAGGAGAGGCCCTAGCCAGAGATCTAAAATCATTTACCGAGAAGGAGACTGACCCAGTGTTATCGGTGTGTAGATAACCTCCTTTCAGCCACACCAACCTGAGACTGGTGCTGGGAGGGTCCTTGCCAGCTGTTTGAACTGCTAATGAAGACAGGGTGCCAGGTGTCCATGAAGAAGGGGCACAGGTCGGGGCAGGGTGGGCACACTGCATGCTGATCCCAGAGCTTGGGAAGGGTGGAGCACATAGACCAGACTCTCAGGGAAGCTCTGGCTGGGTTCCACCGGGAGACTAGACTGCCTTGGACTGATTTCCTGCCCCTGGCGGTGCTTAGGGTTGGGAGTGCCCCGTGTGGATTAGTTTTTGGGAAACCTCCTCCCATCCTCAGAATAGACAATGGTGGACCCCAGACAGCAGGAACTCCAGTGGTGACGCTGCTTTCTGGGGAGACAAGGCCCACTATGGCTTCTCCCGCCCTGCAAGTGGGAGAAGTCTCCACCACGGATTCGCAGCCTCTGCAAGTGGGCTCTGCTCACCCACCGCAGCAGGAGTTGCCAGGAGCTGCTTTGGCTCCTGAAAACGGAGCTGCAGAGTCTCCACATTCAGAGGTAGGGTGGGACCTCTGCCCTGCCTCCACTGGTGATTGCAGCCTCAGTAAACCACCCCAGTAGATGGAGGGCAGCTCTGTGGTGCCCCCAGGCCTGCAGGTAGAAAGGGCCTTGGGGGCTTCCTGGGCTCCTGAAACCAGAGTCCTGAGACCTTCCGAGGTGAGTAGAACCAGAGTCAGGGTACTGCCATTGTAGGTAAAATAGATGAGCCACATGAGTGCCCCACCTAGAGGACAGAGCATGCACAGGCGTTGCCATTTTGGATCTGGATAAGGCTTCTCTTTAGATTATAGGCTGCATGCTACTGCTGTGTGGGCACTGCAGCAGTCAGGTTCTCTGTGTAACTGGTTCTAATAGTAAAGGCTCTGGTTTTGAAAGTCATGAACTGAGGTCCATGAGTGACCACCTGATTTATAGGGTATTTGCAAGGTCTAAACTTCAGAAAGGTGCAAAATGTCCCTACGAATCTAGGGACTTTTAGTAGAAGATACCTAAAGTGTTAGGGACTTTTAGCTGCCACATACTGAGTTTAAGTACAGTTCTTCCCAGTGTGGGAAAGGAACCAAGATTAAAAGAGAATAATGATTAAATCTAGATGAGTAGAAACATATATAAAGGATATGAAAGTTTTAAACCTAGAGTAAAGGAAACTTCAACTACTTGTTTTCTGGTTTTGGGGGAAAAGAGAGAATTTCTCTGCCATTGGTTGTTTCTGATCAGAAACCCTGTGTACCTGAAGACCTAGGAAAGGTCACTGTAGCCGGTTGGAGAGGATGCCTTTGCCACCCAGGACCCAGGAAGGGTCATTAGGGGCTGATAAGCATTTCAGTCTGAGGCAAAGCAGCATGTCCCTGCCATGAGACTGGGCCTGAAGGAGCATGTCTCTGCAAGGCACCAGTGGATGCATTGGTGCAAGAAAATGCCTCTACCTGTGTATTGTTTCAGAACTCTGTGTTTTGGGTTTTGCTCTGTTGGCTAAAAAGGAACCTGTAACCACAATAGAGGCTCAAGGATTTGAGTGAAACAACTGGTACAGGCGAAGCCAGATGGCAGATGTGTGGTTCTGCTTCCGTGTCCCGAGGGGGCAGACTGAGAAGTCAGTCTAAGAGTTCCCTGTGTGAGTTCCAGCAAAGCAGACTTAAGGATCACAAGTGATCCAGGCTGCTCTTAGTGTGTTTATGCAAACAAACAGTCAAAATCAAAAGTGGGATCCAAAGTAGTCCCTGTAATAACAGTGAGAGTGATCTTAAGGAGAAAAACTATAGTTCAAGGAAAATCACTATGCTCAGTATTGGACATCAGAATGGCACAGCTGTCTTGAAAGTTTGTTTTCATTGAAGAGTTGAAACCAGGTTTGTGATGTCACCAAAGATGTACAATTTACAGGTGCAAAGGACCTGTCAAATTGCCACTGTTAAATGTCATTGCAGGAAGACCTTGCAATGGAATGTCTTTCCAAAAAACAGTCTCATAGGCACAGAGACTGTTTTAGAGATTGTTGTGTGCATTAACCTGTGTGTTATTCTGTTTTCATAGGGTGTATCCTATGACCTGCCTATGCCTATGAGTGATTAGTTACAATATAGGCCTCACTTAAGGAGCCCATCTTCATCGTCACCCCCTTGAGACACAACGGTTTGATTCAACTAAGTAGCTAGGTTGATAAAGGGTGAGGCAGTCTGTGGGCTTCACTTTAGAACTGATTTTACCTTTTCTGTCTTGATAGCTTGGAGAGAAAGGGCTCAGAAATCTAAAAGGAGGGAAATCCTAATGTATTCCCCTCAGCCCGAGTGAAGTATAATAGGCCACAAGAGTCTGGGATAGGTGTAGCATGCCTTGTACACCTTCCTCTAGATAAGCCATTCTTTACTGAAGTCCCTGCCTTTGTCATTTAATAGTTATGATTTAATGGTACTTCCAATTTCTTGCCTAATCTGTCACCTCCAGAATACAACCTGACCAGGATGCCAATGGTCCAGTAATGCCAACCTTTGGACGCCAAGCTTGCGACTTCCTGGTGACAACCAACTGACCAGGACCCTGTAAGGTCCTTCCCCTTGCAGGAAGGACTCTCTCTGTGCTGCACCCCCCCCCCCCTTTCAGGGTACCCCTGACCCAAGGGTAGGTAGGACAACATCCATGTCCAGCCAGAAGCAGTTACAAGAAGATGAGACCTTTGTCCATTGTCCTGTATATAATTCCAGAAGGGAAAGAAACCTCATTAATACTCTGATTCCAGGGAAAGGGGGGACCTGCATGTTCCTAGGAGAGGAATATCACTACTATGTAAATCAGTCAGGGATCATAGCTAAGAAAGTTAAAGAAATCAGAGAGAATATAACTGCCGCACCAAAGAAACAGAAAGTTAGAATTAGAGAAATTGAGGAATAAATCCTCAAGCCTGGCTCCAGTAGCTATTTCCCTTTCTAGGACCCCTAAGTATTATCTTCGTAGGTTTAAGCTCGGCCCCTATATCCTGCGGTTCATAGTCTAGAACTTAGAGCAACAGTTACCCTCAGGGCAACTGCCAGAATCCTGTCCCTCCAGTGATACCGTTATCAGATATTACAATAGCCCCCTGACTTACAAGAATAACCATAAAGTGATGCTAGAGCAGTCAACAGCACTGTCAAGCATCAAAAGGGGGGACTTGTTTATTCCTACAAGACTATATAAATGAAAGTGGGATAGTAGAAGAAAACATTAACAAATTAAAAGAAATCCATAAGAGATTAGAAGATACCAATAATCTTACTGAGAGCCGCAACTGGTGGCAATCTGCCTTATTTTCCATGCTAGCCCCAATTCTAGGGCCCCTCTTTATCCTGTTCCTAGTTTTAACCTTAGGGCCAAGCTTAGTGCAGACAATAGTACAGCAGCTAGAAGCTACTGTAACTAGAAAAGCCACCACAAAGATCCTCTCCTTCCAGAGGCATCATTACCAAAGAATAGATTTTTCCAAGGGTGAACATTCAGATGTAGATGGTGATGCTAAAACAAGCACTAGTGCTGTTTAGCATAAAAGGGGGGAATGATGCGGGTGGGGGGTGGGGGGGACTTTGAAAAACCTTTTGTTCACCCAAACCCCAAGCACCCTGGGAAGAGCGATAAGGCCATTTGGGAAAGCAAACAACAGGATGTTCTCAAGGACTAGGATTAGCCCCTCTACCTTCTCCCCCCCACCCCACCCCCCGCAGTCAGAACTAACTTCCGCATTTGGCCTTTGTACTTTGCTTCTGCCATGTAGGCATGGGGAGCCCTGTAGCCAGAACTAACTTCTGCATTCCGCTTCTGTATCCCACTTTGCCATGTGGACAGGAAGCCGTTGCAGACTATATAAACCCCAAGAACCCTTTGTTCGAGGCCCAGAATTTGAAGACTGACTCCTCTGGGTCCGCACACGTGAAAATAAACTTCCACTCTGTATACCTGAAAGCGGCTGAGCTGTTTTCTGTAACAATACCACATTTGGTTTATGTTATAAACATTCCCATACAAGTCTCTGGGCATATAGCTTCATTTCTCTTGGGAATAACTAGGAACAGAGTTGCCAGATCAAAAGGTAGATGTATGAATATGTGTATTTTTAATTTAGGTAAATATTGCCAAATTGCCCTTTGGGGCTTTATCATTTTATACTCCAAACAATACATTTTGAAATAACTGTCTTCCTACAGCCTCACCAATAGAGCCGCTGTCATACTCAGTGCCTAAGAAATTATACTTAGGAACTGAGTATAATTTCTTATACCTAAGATCTATGGATTTACTAATCCTCTATATGCTTAATATCTTATAGTTTTATCTTCAGTAGAGTCCTCTTAGAGGTGAGTACATGTTGCCAATTGTTTACTGTATATTTTCACCTGGTATTGCAAACTGAACTCATAATCCTCCCCACATATCTCCACTCGTCCTGTTCATCCAAATGTGCAAGCCAGAGATCTTGGATTTGTTTCTGACATCAGTTCTCTTCAACTCCTTCTCTAAATCAGGCACCAAATCCTGTCTATTTTATCTTTGAAATATTTTTACAATTCTTGCACTTCCCCCAAGCCAGCATCATATATCCTAGATTGCTCAAAGACTCCTATGGGAGCTCTTTCATCTACTCTCTTCCCTCTTCAATTAATTTTTCATGGAGTAGGTGAGTGGTACTTAGAAATGAAAAACCTGAACATGCTACTCTCTGAGTATAATGAATTCCCAGTGCTCTTACAATAAAAACCAAAATCTTTAACATGGTCTACAGGGCCCTAGCCTACTGTATCTTATTTCATATCACTATGACTTTTCATTTAGGCCTGATAAACACTAATCTTTCAGTTCCTCAAACAGATAATGCTATTTTTCTACCCTAAGACTTTTCTACATACTGTTCCCTCTACCTGTAAGGTTGCTCATTTCCACATTATTTTATTTCATTCCAATCCTTCAAGCTCATCCTTCAGAGGTGGGCTTAAATATCAGTTCCTCAAGAAGCTTACTTTGATGGCCACTACCTAACATCCTCAAATTAGACTAGCCCTGCCCCACCAAATTAGACACTCCTAGCATCCTAAAATTCTCCTTTACGGCAGCTATCAAAACTGATACAAAATATCGAATACTTGCACTATAATCTGTTTAATGCTGTTCCATTCTGTTAGAAAACAAGCTCAGTGGGGGCAATTACTGTACTCATTTTTTTCCAACCACTCTATACCCTACACTTAGCATACAACTAGATACTGTATAAATATCTGTTGAATGAATGAGCAAACAAGCAACTAGAAATGCTCAGAAAAGTCAAGTAAAACTGTGATGTTCTATCACAAATTGGTACAGACCCACATACTACATGAATAGCTAACAAATGTCCACCTTTAGATTATTTCACAGATTCCAAGAAACACTAATTTAATATTCTTACTATGTCATCCCATATCTTGCTTTTCCCTTCTTACCTGCTTGTTTTCTGCCTCCTTGACAGCCTGATTTACATAATTTAAGATCTGACGACAATGATCTGCAGCTTTCTTCACCTTCTCCCTTTCCGTTGGCCACTCTAAATAAGGGCAAGAAATCCAAAATGGAAAATGGAGGATATCAAGAAAAAATGATATCATATACATCATTCTAATTTGAATAGCTAAAAGAACATACTAAGATCCTGAATATTTTCATACCAGGCTAAAACCGATGGAAGAATGTCAATTCAGGTAGTCTTTGGGCGTGTTAAACTACATATGACAGTACTTTAAAACAAATACTAATCTTTAAAAAGAAATCATAGTATAGGAAACCAACACAAGGACATATGTTTTACACCAAGTATCAATCTTACTCACTCCAGGGAGTCGGTCTCATTCACATTGTAAGCAATATAAATGGGAGCCCTCTCCACTAAAATATCACAGTGCACAGCCTACATGATTAAGTACAGTGCACCCGTTAAGGCAATTTTTGAATGATAATACAAAATAATTCAAAATAACTCAAAATAACCCCAAAGTAAGTTTCTCTGAATTTGAAATTAGATTTACAGAAATAAAATAGATTAGAAAATCTGTATCATTAAAAGAAGATAAAACCTGGCCCTGCCTGGTGTGGCTCAGTTAGTTGGTGCATTGTCCTGTACACCAAAAGTTTGGGGGTTCAATTCCTGGTCAGGGCACATATCTAGGTAGTAGCCCTGGTCAGGGCACATATGGGAGGCAACAAATTGATGTCTTTTTCTCCCTCCCTCCTCCCTCTTTCTCTAAAATCAATAAACAGGTTAAGAAGATGGCAGCTATATCGGTGGGAGCTGAGCCTACGTGCTTGTGCACTCAACTGGGACACATAGCCCATCTTCCAAAAAACAAAGTGAATAGCCAACAGAATCTCAGTCGAAATGAAGTTTGGAAGCCAAAGTGTGCAGAGGACCCTTCAAAAAGGGCAGTAAGGAGGTTTCATAGACCAATGGGAAGGTCCCTAGGCCTGGCACCAGAGACTGTGGCTGTCATGGGAACATTGGAGGAAAGTCAGGTCAGTGATAGGAGCCGACAGGCTCCCTCTCCTCCCATGGAGGGGAAGTCCCAGACCCATGCCAGGAGAGGCATGGCACACACAGGAACAATTCGTCCAGTGGGGTGAACTAAGTGTGTGTGTGTGTGGGGGGGCAGTAGCAAGCAACACACAGCCAGCAGACCAAGGCTGGGTCTGCGGTCACTGGTTGGGACATTGCCAGAGAATTTGGGGGATCCTGGTGACACTTGGAGCTAGGAGAGGAGGCTACAACTGGGTGTTGACCCAAATAAAACTCTGGATTTGTCAGAGGGTTGGATTGTGTGGAAAGTTGTACAGTGACTCAGAGCAGCAATGGCGCCCAAAGAGACTTTTTTCAAAAGGAGAACTTAGATGCTTTCTTGGCAGGGATTTATCTAAAACTGCCTCAGCCAACAAAGAGGGAGGAGGAGTGGGGGCTCGAATCGCTCCCACTCAGGGACCCTCATGGACTGATCAAAGAGGTGCAAAATGAGGTGGCTTATCAATGATAGGTGGGCACAAATGCTCAGTGAAGAGTGCAGGCTGCACAGTGATCTGAGGGACTGGGCTGGAAACTGGGCACCTCTGACTATAGTAGCCCAGAGAGAGCCACCATTCTTGTAGAACCACAGCAAAGGAAAAAAATGTAGCCCAGCCTCTCTATGCTTGCAGGAAACTGGAAGATCGGCAAAACTAGACAGACTTTTTTTCCCCCGATGTCAACTGTTAAGGGAGAGAAAGCCAGACACAGATCGAGAAATAAGTCAGAAGGTGAACACCAACAGCTGAGACAAATTTCATTTGGCTCTTCAGCAGAACTTGCATGTTTTTTAAAAAAATTTCTCTTCATTCCACTTAGTTTTTTTTTTTTTTATTCTCCTTTTCATGTTGCATTTTAATTTTCTTATTTCACTTGACTCATATTCCAAATAACTCACTACTCTTGGTCTTGTACTTTTACTCTTTGTATTCAGATTATATATTTCATATCCAACACAGCACCCTTCCCTGGTCTTAATTCATATTGTCATCTTCCTGGAATTATCATTGCTGTAAATTTTATTTTCTCTCACACTATGCCAAGTTTCTATCCCTTACTCTCACTAGCTCTCCTCCATACAACCTCACATAAGTGCTTTTCTTTCTTAAGTCAGCTCCCATTCTTTTCCCCCTGTAATAACAGTAATTTCTTTTCCACCTTTTATAAACAGTGGCTAGTTGGGTGCAATACCATGGTTATAGAAAGGAAAGAGGAGAAATTACAAATGACACCACAGAAATACAAAGGATTGTAAGAGATTACTTCAAACAACTCTATGATAAAAAATTAGAAAACCGGGGTGAAATGGACAAATTTCTAGAAATATAATCTTCCAAAACTGAATAAAGAACCAGAAGACCTGAAGAGACTGATAATTGCTGGTGAAATTGAAGCAGCAATAAAAAAATTCCACCACAGAAAAGCCCTGGACCACACAGTTTCACAGGAGAATTTTACAAACAGTTTAAGAAGATCTAACCCCTATCCTTCTCAGACTATTACAAAAACTATTCCAGGGAAAATTCCCAACTCCTTTATGAGGACAGCACTAAACTAATCCCAAAACCAGATAAAGAAACAACAAAGAAAGAAAACCACAGGTTGATATCGGTAATGACACTAAAATACTCAACAAAATATTGGCAAATCAGATCCTGTCATACACTAAAAAGATCATACACCATGACCAGTAGGAATCATCCCAGGAATTCAAGGATGGTACAATATTTGCATATTAATAAATATAACACTTCACATAAACAAAAGGAAAGACAAAAATCACATGATCATGTCAACAGATGTAGGAAAGCATCTGGTAAGGTACAGCAACCATCTATGGTAAAAACACTCAACAAAGTGGGAGTATAAGGAGCATACTTCAACATAATAAAGGCCATATACAAGAAACTTAGAGCCAACATCATACTCAATGGACAAAAACTTAAAGCTTTCCCACTAAGATCAGGAACAAGAGGAGGATGCTTGCTTTTACCACTCATATTCAACATAATATTGGAAGTCCTAGCCACAGCAATCAGGCAACAAAAAGAAATTACAGGCATGCAAATGGGAAAGGAGGAAGCAAAACTGTCATTGTTTGCAGATGACATGATAGTGTACATAGAAAATCCTATCTACACCTGCAAAATACTCGGCCTAGTAAATGAATTTGGCAAAATGGCAGAATTCAAAGTAAATATTCAGAAAGTGAAGGTATTTTTGCATACCAAAAATGAAATACCAGAAACAGAAATTAGGGAAAAAATCCCTACTGCTATAGCAACAAGAAAATAAAGTACTTAGGAATAAACCTACCAAGGAGGTAAAAGAACTTTACTCAGAAAACTAAACATTGGAAAAAAAATGAAGGAAGACACAAATAAATGTAAGCAATTACATTCTCATGGATTGGAAGAATTATCATCATCAAATGTCCATATAGGCCCCCAAAATCTATAGATTTAATGCAATCCTTATCAAAATACTAATGACATATTTCACAGATATAGAATAAACACTTGAATAATTTATATGGAACCATAAACAACCCTGAATAGCTACAGCAATTTTGAAAAAGAAGAATGAAGTAGGGGGATCATAATATCTGACATCAAAATATATTATAAGGCCAAAGTAATCAAAACACTATTATATTGGCATTTAAGAACAGACACATAGATCAATAAAACAGAGCAGAGAGAGCTCAGAAGTAAACCCATGTCTTTATGGTGAATTAATATTCAGCAAAAAGGGAAGAAGCATAAAATGGAGTAAAAATAGCCTCTTCAACAAATGATGTTAGGATATCTAGACAGCTACATGGGAAGCAATAAAACTCAACTACCAACTTACACCATACACAAAAATAAACTCAAAATGGATAAAAGACTTAAATATAAGTTGCAATACCATAAAAGTCCTAGAAGAAAACATAGGCAGGAACATTTCAGATATTCCATGCAGCAACATTTTCACCAGTATGTCTTTCTAGAGCAAGGGACATAAAGGAAAGAATAAGCAAATGGGACTTTATCAAAATAAAAAGCTTCTGCATGGCTAAGAAAAACATCAGCAAAATGAAAAGGGAACCAACTGTATGGAAAACTATATTTGCCTGTGATAACTCACACAAGGGGATAATCTGAAAAATATATGAAGAAACCACATGACTCCACTCCAGGAAGACAACCAACCCAATTAAAAAATGGGCAAAGCACCTGAACAGACACTTCTCCAAGGGAGGACACACAGAGGACCCAGAGACCTGTGAAAGGATGCTCAGCATCACTAGCCATCAGAGAGATGCAAATTTAAACCACAATGAGATAGCACTACACATAGGTCAGAATGGCCATCATAAACTAATCAACAAACAACAAGTGCTGGTGAGGTTGTGGAGAAAAGGCTACCCTAGTGCACTGTTGGTGGGAATGCAGACTGGTGAGGGCACTGTGGAAAACAATATGGAATTTCCTCAAAGAACTAAATCGGAACCGTCTTTTGACCTGGCAATTCCACTGCTGGGATTATACCTTAAGAATCCTGGAACAGCAATTCAAAAGAATCTATGCACCCCAATGTTCATAATAATGCCATCTACAATAGTGGAGTGCTGCCATCAGTTAATGAATGGGTCAAAAAACTGTGGTACATTTACACAATGGAATTCTACACAGCAGAAAGAAAGGAACTCCTTCTTGACAGCATGGACAGACCTATAGAGTATTATGCTAAGTGAAATAAGCCAATCGGTGAAAGACAAATACAGTATGATCTCACCTACAAGTGGAACCTCATCAACAAAACAGACAAGCAAGCCAAACACAACCACAGACATGGAAATTAAGAACAAAGTGACAATGACCAGAGGGGTCAGGGGAGAAGAATAATGGGGCAAAGAAGGGGAAGTGTTACCAAGGAACATGTATAATGGACCAATGGACAAAGACAATGGGGGTGTTAGAGGACTGAATGCGGGCAATGGGTGTGGGCAGGGTAGGGGAGAGTAATGGGAGAAAATGGGGACAACTGTAATTGCACAACAATTAAAAAAGCAAAAAAATAAAATCAATAAACAAATTTTAAAAATTAAAAATGAATAAATAAAACATGAAATTTACTATAATATGATGAGTTACACTGAGGTATACAACGTCAATACCAAAATCAAATATTCAAAATTATAATCCTCCAAACATAGTCTAACTATAATAAACAGACATACTAAAATATAAGTCATGCTTATGAGTGTTTTCAAATTCTGAAGCATAAGAAATAGGAACTTGCATAGAATTATTAATGAAAATTAATTATAACAGCCTAAAGCTCAATTGTAGAATTTATTCAGTACTTATTTTAATTTTTTTAAGTACATTGTATTGATTATCCTATTACAGTTGTCCCATTTTTTCCCCCTTATCTGCTTCTGCCCTGGACCGACCCCCCTACCCTCCTGCATTTCACCTCATCCCTTAGTTTATGTCCATGGGTCATATATATAAAAATTCTTTGGCTTCTCCATTTCCTATACTGTTCTTAACTACACCCTGTCTATTTTGTACCTATGAATTATGCTTATTTCCTGTGCCCTTTCCCCCATTCTCCCCCTCCCTGCTGATAACCCTTTCTATTAACTCCCTTTCTATTCATGTTCTAGTTATTTCCTTAGTTTTTTATTTTGTTTTGTAGGTTTAGTTGTTGATAGTTGTGTGTTTGCTGTCATTTCACTGTTCACAGTTTTTATCTTTTTCTTAGGTAAATAAGTCCATATAACACTTCATGTAATGAGGGCTTGGTGATGATGAACTCATTTAACTTGACCTTATCTGGGAAGCACTTTATCTGCTCTTCCATTCTAAATGTTAGCTTTGCTGGATAGACTAATCTTGGATGTAGGTCCTTGCCTTTTATGAATTTAAATACTTCTTTCCAGCCCCTTCTTGCCTACAAGGTTTCTTTGGAGAAATCAGATGATAGTCTTCTGGGAACTCCTTAGTAGGCAACTGTTTCCTTTCTTCTTGCTGCTTTTAAGATTCTCTCCTTATCTTTAAACTTAGGTAACTTAATTATGATGTGTCTTGTGTTCCTCCTTGGGTCCAACTTCTTTGGGGCTCTCTGAGCTTCCTGGACTTTCTGGAAGTCTATTTCCTTCACCAGACTGGGGAACTATTCCTTCATTACTTTTTTCAAATAAGCTCTCAGTTTTTGCTCTTCCTCCTCTCCTTCTGGCACTCCTGTGATTTGGATGTTTTTGGAATGTTTAAAATTGTCCCAGAGGTTCCTAAGTCTCTCCTCATTTTTTTGAATTCTTGTTTCTTCATTCTGTTATGGTGGAATGTTTATTTCTTCTTTTTGCTCCAAATTGTTGATTTGAGTCCTGGTTTCCTTCCCTTCACTGTTGGTTCCCTGTATATTTTGCTGTATTTCACTTTGCATAGCCTTTACTCCCTCCTCTATTTTGTGTCCATACTCAAATGAATTCTGTGAACATCCTGATTACCAGTGTTTTGAACTCTGCATCTGATAGGTTGGCCATCTCCTCTTTTTCTGGAGTTTTGATCTGTTCTTTCATTTGGGATATATTTCTTTGTCTCCACACACTTATTCTGTAGTAAGGGGCAGAGACAACCCACCTCACTACATTGTGGTACTAAGTGGGGGAGTGGTCAGAGAGGAAACAGTGCCATTTATTCTGCTCTTGCCCTGCTTTCAATCACTTTCCCCACTACCCACAAGCAAACTGGCCCCTCTGTTGCTCATTCTCGGGTTGGTGAGCTTGTGTACATTCTAGGACACCATGGATCTGTCCAATGAGCTGTTATGTGAGGGTGGCAGTTTTAGACACCACCACAACCCCCACAGGTTTTTACAGGAAGTGGTTTTAAAGCTTTATTTTCCCACGCTGGAATCCCAGGTTGCACAGTATGTCTCACTCACCAGTTGTTCCTCCCAGCTTATAGGCTCATGAATGTGGGACTACCCTATCCACCAGCCACCACCTCACTGGCCTGGTCTGTTGCCTTGCTGCACATCTTCACTCCAGCTGCCTGTCTCTGATCCTCTTAGCAGTCTGGATGAGTATTTCTTTAACTCCTTGGTTGTCAGACTTCCATATAGTTCGATTTTCTGGCAGTTATGGTTGTTTTTGGTTTTTAAATTGGTTGTCCTTCTGTTGGTTATGTGAGAAAGCAAAACAGATCCACCTATACCTCCATCTTGGCCAGAAGTTCAACCACAGATTTTCTGGAGGTGAGTGGTAGTGCCGCTAATTCTGCAGCAGCAGCAGTGGCAGACAGCCCAGCCAGCAGACTTATGTGCTGGCTCCCTGCAGAGCAGAGCGATGGTCCCAGCACTGAGTAGTGCTATGCCTCCACTACTTATTTTAAAACAGAAGAGTTGGAATTATAATGCATTAATCAGCTGGGCTAATGAAAGTTTATATATAAATAAAAAACATCTCTTCAACCCAATATTAGCCTTCTTCAAAGGAAATATGATATATGCTAGAGGAAGAATTGGTGAGCTTCTATAAAGAGCCAGTAAAAAGTATTTTATAATTTGCCAGCCAAATGGTCTTTGTCCCAACTACCATCTCTGTTTTTGTAGTGCAAAAGCAGAGTGTGTCAACAAATGAGCATGACTATGTTCTAAAAAACTTCACAAAAACAGGTGATTAGTTATATTTGGCCCATGATCCAGATTGACAAACTCTGTGCTAGACTCAATAACAGAGTCCATTATATCAAATATCCTGAAGATTGGATTGAATCTTACTAGAAAATTTTGCTCTACTATTTGGAAACCTCTAGGCACCAGAATGCCGTGACAGAATTTTGTTCCTTTTTTTGCCCCAAAGCTTTTTAATTTCAGTGAATATGTTGTACCTGTATATTTGGCAATATTATCCAATAGAAGAGGGTACTTAGTAAGCCTCTGCATTTGGGTAGGAATGATATCCTTCAGCTGCAGACGACGACAGAGTGGATTACTTTCAGCATCCTAAAATTAAAGTGAAGTAAGTGAATTTTAAGTTCTACCATATATTCGTCATATAAGTGTCTACAGCATTACAGTTTTGGTAATCAAATCAAGACTTAAAATATGCCAAAACATACCACTGCCACAATATACTTCTGCTTTCTCTTTTTATTCCTAAACCAATGGCTTCTTTGTTATCTGTTTAAGCAAGGACTGAATGCATTCATAATCAACTCTTAGAATCATTTTCTTGGGATAAAAGTTTTATCTTAACATATTCAAAAAATCTAGTTACAGTTTTTTATAATTCGCATTCCTACCCAAAACAAGTCAGCTAATTCACTGGCTGCCATCCCAAGTAGGCAAAATAGGTCACCAGTCTGGATGTAGCAGCTCATCTATAGCAAGGATCTGCAAACGTCTCATTAAAGTGCCAAACAGTAAATACTTTGGGCTTTGCATACCATAGTCTCTATTGCAACTTTCAACTTTGCTGTTTTAGAACCAAAGCACAACAGATAATATGTAAATCGAAGAACAAGACTATGTGTATTAAAAGTTTCTAAGATGGCTCCCCAAACTCCCCCTGTGTTTTTTACACTCTACATAATCCCCTCTCCTTGTGTGTGGAGAGAACCTGGAATATGATGGCATATTGTTCCTTTGCTTAGGTTACTATCAGCTGACTTCTGAGGATTCTCCTAAGCGAGTCTGACTTATTTAGAGGAGTATTTAAAGGAAAGGTCTGCCAGGGAGATGCTTTCCTACTGGCCTGGAAGAAAGCTAACATCCATCTTGTAAAATGCCTACAGGGGTCATATGGCAAACAAATATGGGCACTTTCTAGGAACCAAGAGCAGTTCGTAGCTAACAATAGTAAGAAGACAAAGATCTCAGTTACACATTTACAATGACATGAATTCTGCTAACAAGTTAGCTTAAAAGAGGACCCTAAGTCTCAGATGAGAACTATGACTCCAGCTGACACCTTGATTTCAGCCTGGTGAAAGTATGAAAGGAGAACCTAAGTAACTATACACCTGTACTCCTGAACCCCCAAAACACTGACACAATAAATTTGCATTGTTTCAAGTTGCTATGCTTGTGGTAATTTACTATACAATAATAAAAAACTACTATACTGTTTTCCAATATAACTTTATTTACAAAAACAGGCAAGAGGCTAGATATGACCAGCAGGTTGTAGCTCACTGACCCTTCCTCTATACCAATACATACCTCAATAAGTATAATTGTTGTTATATTGCTCCCTGGGCTGGATATAAACCCATTTTTATGTTTTGATAATATTATTTTAATAGTGTACACGGGCCACTTCTGGACAATATCCCCATGGTAATGTGAACTTCTATGTTAAGTATTTTAATCATGAAATGCATTCTTTATTTGTCACTATTCCAGTAATTTGAGAGAGCATTTGTAGATTTGAGAAACATTAACATAGATACAATGCTTGTATGCTTGTAAAAAAGTCAGAATTCACCAGTTTATTCCATACTTAATTTAATTGCATCATTCTTTTTTCCTACAGAACACAGTCAACTCACTTGCACAAAAGTATGAAACCGAGAATCCTTTTTCTGACGAGATTTGATCATTTCCAGGGCAAAAGGTTGGTTACTGCAAAAGGTAGCAGCAGCATGTTTCAACTTCTCCTCCCCTGGTCCACTAAACTGTGCCAAGAAAGCAAAGAACACAATAGAGAATGGAATACTTAGCTGATAAAAGGCCAGACAAAATGAAAGACATCCACAATCTTTTCGGTATTTCAGTAGGTATTCTCAAAAAATAAGAAACAAAAACTACATATATATATATGGAATATCAATGTTTCTCTGTTAAAAACATCTGACTCTGACACATTCAAACCTTTGTCTTTGAATTATACTCTAATGTTACTCTAATTATACTCTAATGTTTTCTTCCTTGTAGCCTCCCATGCTTATTAACTTTTTAATCTATACCACTTCTCTACTAGACAGAACGGTTGAAACTTGGGAAATTATGAGACATAAAACACTTAAAAGACACTCTGGGTAGTGGACAAAGAAATATACAGATGATGTATCATGGAACTGCACTGCTGAAACCTATGTAATTTTATTAACCAATATCACCCCAATACATTTAATTGAAATAAATAAATAAAAATTAAAAATATAGTGTAAAACAAAAAACACTGAGATTAAAATTTCATGTTCTTAGAATCTGGCACCTTCACAAAAACAATTCTTTTTATTATTGCTTAGTATAAAACCCAGGTCACGTTGAAACTTTTCTGGGTTGCAATAAAATGAAATTATCCCTGCTTCACTTGTGCAGAGGCTAGGTAGCCATGCCATCAATCTCTCTCTTGTGGAAGATCCATGAGCCTAAGAATCTCTTTACTAAAAATAATACTTTTCACCGATCATTTTAATTCATAAATTTAAGGTTTTTTAAAAAAAATATTTATTTATCGGGAAGGGAAGGGAAGGGAAGGGAAGGGAAGGGAAGGGAAGGGAAGGGAAGGGAAGGGAAGGGAAGGGGGAAGGGAAGGGAAGGGAAGGAAGGAAGGGAAGGGGAAGGGAAGGAAGGGAAGGGAAGGGAAGGAAGGGAAGGGAAGGAAGGGAAGGAAGGAAGGAAGGGAAGGAAGGGAAGGGAAGGAAGGAAGGAAGGAAGGGAAGGGAAGGAAGGGAAGGAAGGGAAGGAAGGAAGGAAGGGAAGGAAGGAAGGGAAGGGAAGGAAGGGAAGGGAAGGGAAGGAAGGGAAGGGAAGGAAGGGAAGGGAAGGAAGGAAGGAAGGGAAGGGAAGGGAAGGGAAGGGAAGGGAAGGGAAGGAAGGGAAGGGAAGGGAAGGGAAGGAAGGAAGGGAAGGGAAGGGAAGGGAAGGAAGGGAAGGGAAGGGAAGGAAGGAAGGAAGGGAAGGGAAGGGAAGGGAAGGGAAGGGAAGGGAAGGGAAGGGAAGGGAAGGGGGAAAGAAATATCAACATATGGTTGCTTCTCGTGTGTTCCCTGCTGGGAACTGGCCCCTGCTAGGAACTAGCCTACAACCCAGGCATTGCCCTGACTGGGAATCGAACTGCATCTTTTGGTTCGCAGCCCTACACTCAATCCACTGAGCTACACCAGCCAAGGATAAATTTAAGTTTTTATGTGCCATAATTTTAACATTTCTGATAAAACATCTAACAAGTGCTTCACTTCTAACAGGTAGTTTTATAAGTATAGGTTGAATAAATTATTTTTAACCAGCTTTATATTTCTAATAATTGCTTTTATGATTCATAAATTTTTGATATAATATTCCCCTTAAAACCATAATTGCAGAAGTCTGTACATGAAAATATTTTGTTAAAAACTGTTTTATAATGCATTTGTAGGTGAAGTCAAAGTGTTTTTTCAACTAGGACACATATTAAGTGACATTTCTTCTTTTTTTTTCAATGCACACCCAATGTCTTTTTTAAAGCATTTTTTAAATTTAATTATTGTTCAAGTACACTTTTCTGTCTTTTACTCCCATCCCAGCCCACCCCCCCAGTGCTCCCCACCTCCCTCCCATTTCCAACCCCCTTAGTTTTTGTCCATGTGTCCTTTATACTTGTTCCTGTGAATCCTTCCCCTTTTCCACTGAAATTCTCTCCACTCTCTTAATAGGTTGTTTCAACACTGTATTCTTATTTTATCATAAATGACACTCAACATTTTAAAAAATAAAACTGACAGCAGTTTGGAATATGAATTCTGACATACAAATACTACCACTATAACTGGGTTTACCAAAGAAAATAAATGTCATCAACCTCAAGCAGTTGTTAAGTAGTTATACAAGTAGTTTGAGTATCTGAAAGGTGATCATAATGGACAAATACAAAAAAATAAATTCTCCAAAACCATTTGAAAAAATAATTTTAAAGGCATATTTATGATTTTTGCCTTTATATTTCTGCATTGCCCTAAATTAACCATCTATAACTAATGGTTACTAATGTAATTGGTTAGTCCATTCCAATTTTTTTTACAGGTCCATTACATTGGTCAAGAATATACTTCTTTTATCAGTTCTAGTAGTTTTTGGTGGAATCTTTAGGGTCCTGTATAACAGAATGCAAGATAAATATCCAGAATTATGTTTTACTTTTATACACCAATAATGAGCTATCAGAAAGAGAAAATAAGAAAATAATTCCACTTACAATTACTTAAAAAAAAAAGTACCTAGAAAAAAATTTAACTGAGGATGTAAAAGACCTGTACTCAAAAAATTATAAGGCAATGAATAAAGAAATTAAAGAAGCATACAGACAGACTTCTGGCCAAGATGGAGGCATAGGTCGAAACACTGTAGCTCTTTGCACAATCAAGTTTAAAGACAACAAAGTTTTAGTAGCAAAAACGCAGCCAAAACACAGAAAATTGAACTGTACAGAAGTCCAACAACAATGAACCATTCATCCAAACCGGTAAGAGAGGCGGAGTCAGTGGCTGTGGGAGCAGGGTCAGGCAGAAAAAAGCTGCCAGACTGACCCAGGAGCAAAGGCGGCAGTTGGCAGATCCCAGGCGTGGGGTGGACACAGGCAGATCAAGTGGAGGTGCAAGGCAGCTGCCTGACTGTGGTCACACATTTGTGCGCAGATAAACCAGGTAAAGGAGCAAGCAGTGAGACAGACTGCACAGGCTAGGGCCCCAGTGACGAGAATTAAAGCCTAAAAGCACCAATTAAAAAAACTTTCAGTTTTCTCACTTTGCTGAGTGTTTTTATCATAAATGGGTGTTGCACCTACAGAACATTCAGAGACACATGAAGAGATGCTCAGTATCATTAGCTATCAGAGAGATGCAAATTAAAACCACAATGAGATACCACTTTACACCAGTCAGGATGGCTATCATAAACAAAGCAACAAACAACAAATGTTGGAGAGGTTGTGGGAAAAAGGGGTCCTTAGTTCACTGTTGGTGCAATTGCAGACTGGTACAACCATTATGGAAAACAGTATGGAATTTTCTCAGAAAAATAAAAATCGACCTGCCTTTTGACCCAGCAATTCCACTGCTGGGTTTATATCCTAAGAATCCTAAAACATCAATATCAAAGAACCTATGCACCACAATGTTCATAGCAGCACAATTTACAATAGCCAAGAGTTGGAAGCAACCTAGGTGCCCATCAGTAAATGAATGGATCCAAAAATTGTGGTACATATATACAATGGAATTCTATGCTGCAGAGAGAAAGAAGGAGCTACTACCTTTTGCAACAACATCGATGGAACTGGCAAGCATTATGCTGAGTGAAATAGGCCAGGTGCTGAAAGACAAATACCATATGATCTCACCTTTAACAGGAAGCTAAACAACAAAACAAACAAGCAAGCAGAAAAAAAAACAAAGACACTGAAATAGAGAACAAGGGGATAGTGACCAGAGGGGAGAAGGAAGGGCAGTTAAGGGGAAAAAGGGGGAGGGATTTGGAGGAACAAATAGGAAGGACACAGGGACGAGAACTAAGGGGAGTGGAAATGGGAGGGAGGTGAGGAGCAAGCGGCCGGGGAGGCTGGGATGGGAAAAATAGACAAAAAACTGTACTTGAAAAATAACTAAATAAAATTAATTATAAAAAGAAAAGAAAAGAAAAGAAAATGACAGATAAAATTTAAAGACTAATATTTTACCTTTATGATCAATAAATAATTAGTAGTCATGCCAAAATAAATAAATAATTAAATAATTAAATAATTAAAAAATGGTGTGGGGAAAATGATATGAATATATGTAAACAAATAAAAAAAGAAGAAACTTGACCACCTTCTTTACTATACACAAAGAATAAATCCAAAATGAATTAAAGAATTAAATGTTAGAATCTAAACCATAAAAATCCTAGAGGAAAATACAGGCAGTAAAATTTCAGACATTTCTTGTAGCAATATTCTGATATTATTGCTTTGGGCAAGGGAAACAAAAGAAAAAATACACAAATGGGACTACATCCAACTACAAAGTTTTTGCAGAGCAAAGGAAACCCACAACATAAAAAGACAATCCACTGAATAGAACATATTCACCAATACAACTGATAAGGGGTTAATGTCCAAAATTCATAAAGAGCTTATAAAACTCAACATCAGGAAAACAATCCAATTAGAAAATAGGCAAAGTACCTGAATAGACACTTCTCCAAAGAGGACATACAGATGGCCAATAGACCATAAGATGTTCAATGTCATTAACCATAAGAGAAATGCAAATTAAAACCACAATAAGATATTACCTCATACCGGTTAAAATAGTTATTGTCAATAAAACAAACAAGTGCTGAAGAGGATGTGGAGAGAGGGTAACCTTCGTGCACTGTCAGCAGAAGTATAGATTGGTGCAACCACTGTGAAAAGCAGTATGGAGTTACTTCTAAATTTAAAAATGGAATTGTCTTATGATCCAGCAGTTCTACTTCTGAAAATATATCCAAAGAAACCCAAAACACTAATTTGAAAGAACATATGCACTCCCTATATTCACTGAAGCATGATTTACAATAGCCAAGATTTAGAAAAAGCCCAAATGTCCACCAGTAGGTGAATGGATAAAAAAAGCTAGGGTACATACACAGTGGACTACTACTCAGCTATAAAAAAAGAAGAAAATTTTATCTTTTGCGACACCATGGATAGGCCTGAAGAACATGAGGG